ATCAGTTGACCATAGATAGATGGGTTGATCTCTGGATTCTCAATTCGATTCCATTGATCTATGTGTCTGTCTTTAAACTGACATCCTTGCTCTTCAGCACTTTTAAGAGTTTGCTGACAGCATATGCCCAATGCAGCGTATCTTGATTTCTTAATTATGTTACCATGGGTATTGATTGTTGATCCAAATAAAATAAAAATTTGGCTGCCAAGTATAACAGCTCCTGAATATCTGGCATCACCAATGCTCTATTCTAGGCACTGTACCCAACAAGTTACCTAATTTTTTCATACTCACAAAAAGACAGATGAAGTAACTGAATCTACATTGGAATAGTAACTTATTTAGGATCATAAATCTCCTAAGGAATACACAAACTCTCGTCCATATGGCCCCTATGGCTCTATATCTACCTTTTTTTACTAAGGGGAAAGTTACTCATCCTGGCATAATACTTATATTCCTTTCTCTCACTTTACTGTTAGCTCCCCAGTGACAACTTTTGTTTCAGTCCATTCTGTATCCTTAATGCTAACAACTCATAACTACTGCTTTATTGGATTGAGTATATGAAGGAAAGAGGTTAAGAATAGCATCAAGAAAGCCAAGAAGAGAAAGTTTAAATAAATGACTGGCCAGTAGAGTGAAAAGTTACAGAGAGCCATCAGTATGACATACTTTAAATCAATACTGGCCCTTATATATTGAACACCTACAAAACTCAAGACAATGTGCAAAACATTGTGAAACAAGAAAGAATAAAACCTGGTACACGTCAAAGCATTTTCTGGAAACCATTCTCATCTAAATTCTTCATCAAGAAAGCAAAAGAGTCAGTCCTGTATTTGTCGACATCTTATTGGACTCTGGTAATACATTTAAAGACAACTTGTGAGGAACACTGCGCCATCTTTCAATAAAAGTTCTAGCAGAAGACACGCGATAAAGGGCCAGAACCTGAGTCTCGTGACGCCACAGCCGATGGTCAGGGAAGCGGTCTCTCCAGCCCCTTTTCAGAGTGGGCTTGCCCCAGGAGGACCCTCTGTATCGCAGGGCGGGAAAAGCAGGCACTTACCGCAAAAGGCACCACTAACACGGCCCAAAGGGCCCGGAATTCCTCTGCGAGGCCCCACGCCGATGGAAGAAACCCTGGGAAGCCAAGGAGCATACAGACAGGCGCGACCCGGGAATCCGACTTCCCAAACTACATAAACTAGGGTTCCAGAGCCCAGGACAGAGGCGCCAACTACCACCAGCTGGAAACCCGACGACTACCACGAACCTTCCGCCCAATGAGGAAACGTCACCACTCGAGGTAGTCCAGCCTTTCTTGAAAAGGATACACTTCCGCTTCCGGAGCACACCACTGTTTTCTTTCTAGTCGAGAGGTCTGTTGAAAGGATTCATAAAGTACTTTATTGTTTCGACTTGCTAAAATTGAGTTTAACTCTTTTCTCTCAATACGCGTAGCAGGGAACTTAGTAGCAAATTAGCAGGCTGTTTACGTCCTCTTTATTTAGTTAGTCTCTTTAGTTAGTCCTCTGCCACAGAACAGCAGAATGGCCCGGAGAGGCTACCTTTAAAAAAAAGTAACTCGAGTAGGTTAATTTTTTTTTTCAGTGGGTTAAATTTAATGACCGTGAAAAGGGGTGGGATTGAGGGTAGGGATGCCAGGAAGCACGTGAAGGGAGGTGGGGCTTAGCGCTCTTGAAGGGCGGAGACCCTAGAGAATACGAGTCACTACTGGCTCCCCAGCGCGTGCGCACTGCAGACCTCCTTCTCTCCCTCCTGCCCCCGGAACGGACATGGACTTTCACTCTGCCAGGCGTGCAGTTCTACAGCTGTTGGATGCTGTGGTTCCTGCTGACCGGCCAGCGCTGCTCCGGTGGATGCGAACGACCAGTAAGCAATCATAGCTACAAGCTGGCGGTTTGGACAAGGATATGATTTGAGCACTGATTTTGGGGACTTAGACTAGGGGAGGCCAAAAGCCTTCCACCAGGGATACTGTGCTTTTTTACGGCATGGGTTGTTCGGGGCACATCCTTCAGCTACTTATAGTCCAGCTATTTGTTGAGTGCCATAGCGTACGACACATAGCGAGCCTATAAACAACAGATCTGAACCTTTATCCTAACCTATACCATCCTCATCATCTCTGACATACTGTCACCATGTCAGTCTATCTTGTTAAGGGTCTTCATCTCTTTCTTTTTTTTTCATAACACAAATCATGAGTAGGGCAATAAGGAGCACACGGAAGTAGCTGAAGGCCTGAGTCATCATATCTGTTTAGTCAAGAGGAAGGAGGAAATGGGATGGGGGGCATGGAAAAAGATGAACATTCTGTGGGGAGGTACAGGTAGGGGTACATTCTGTGGTGGGGGTACAGGTAGGGATGGGATCAGGTCCCATACGAATAACACTGAATTTTTTAATGTGTAACAAGGTAGAGACTCTCTTCTGTTCTTCTGGGTAAAAAACTTTTCTGTCAGATATTGTTCCAGTGCATCTAAAGTGACATAGACTAGGAAAAAGGATGACCGTCCACTTCTGAAAACACAGCCTTTGAAAACCCGATATACAATAGCAAACATTCAGATTAAACTGGTTTTATTGAGATAAAACCTCAAATTGGGAAACACAAAGGAGGTAAACAGACATTACTGACTGGAAGGTAGAATGTCAGAAGTATGAATGTAAGAAAATTGGACTTTTTTTTTTTCTGAGTAGAGGTTCTAATAGTGGCACAAATCAAGTTACAGAGGTAAGGTGGTTCCATTGCCATCCTTACTCTAACTTAATTCTTTTTTTTTATTTAAATTTGTTATTAATTTCAGTGAAAATTTACAGAGGCTTTGGATTTCCATTCATTCATTGTTGTAGATTTGTCCCCTCCCAAGGCTCCCCCCCACCAGACATTACCCTCTTGGAAAAGTAAAAGAAAAGATTCTTTCATTATTTTACAAACCCTCCCCCAGGTCCACTCCACCATGTAGCCATCGCTCTAGACTCCTGTCATGACCGAAATACCTAATCACATATCTCTTTTAAACAGTTTTCTCCCTTTCTGTTTCAGAGCAGCATACATTATTGAACCCATCTTACTCAGTCTCTCCCCAACCCCAAGGACAGTCCCATTCTACAACAGTGGCACCATGCAATATTTGTCCCTTTGTGACTGGGACATTTCACTCAGCATAATGTTCTCCAGAGTCAACCATTTTGAGTAATATTGCATGAGTTCCTTGTTTTTTAATGCAGCATAGTATTCCATTGTGCAAATATACCACAGCTTCTCTAGCCATTCGTTTGTTGATGGGCACTTAGGTTGTTTCCAACTCCTTGCTATTGTGAGCAAAGCTGCATTAAACATGGGTGTGCATATATCTGCTTGGGTGTCAGTTATGGTCTCTTCTGGGTATATTCCCAGTAGTGGTATTGCGGGGTCAAATGGTATCTCTATTTGCAACTTTTTGAGAAAGCGCCATACTGCTTTCCACAGGGGTTGCACCATTTTACACTCCCACCAACAGTGAATCAGGGTTCCAGTTTCTCCACAACCTCGCCAGCATTTATTGCTTGCTGTTCTGTTAAATTTTACTATTTTGACTGGGGTGAGATGATATCTCATAGTTGTTTTAGGTCTTCATCTCTTTCAACGACCCTTCCTCCACCTTTCCAAGCTTGATATCCTTCTCCAGAGAATAGCTCCTCCAGTTTGAGATAGGTTAAAGACCTGACTTTATTTTGCTGCAGGTTTTGGATAAATCCCAAGAGCTTGCTTGTGCCCAACGCTTTTTTCAAAAAAGGTAGTCTTTCCTCTCCATTACTCCTTCCATCCTCCCTCTGATCTTGTGAGGATCAATGAGATACTGCCTGAAGCAGAGCTTTTACTGAGCTTCAGTTGTAGAACTGGAGACACTCTCCAGATAAAGTCACCTATCGCCAGTGCATTTTGTGGATTGTAAATTGGACCGCCAATTTAAATAACTTTTTGGAGGGAGAAAAGACCTTTGATTTTAACATAGAGCAATAAGGATGAGTAAGAATCAAAGAAGTGTGCTGATTATGTTTACTTATTGAAGACTGTCATAGGTCTATGCTGGCAAAGTGAAGCCTGGTGAAAGCACAAGGAGATATCCTATCTTCTTGTTAACTGTACACCTCCAAACATTGATTTCTATGACTGTTTTCAACCGGTCTTAAAGCTTGAAGTATTTTTGTTTGCAACGGACTCCCAGTTTTAGACTTCTAGCCCTAGTCTCATCCTAGAACTTTATTTTTTGGGGATGTTGGAGTCAAATCAATGACCAATAGGCTCAAGTGTGTTAGAGATAATGAGGATGGGACAGGATAGGAAGGTATTCAGGTCTCTTGTTCATAGATTTGCTATGCATCAGAGTTGACTCAGTATCACTTAACAACAAAACATTTTGAGATCAATCTAGATAAGATGCCAAACCAAAATTAACTTATACATGCCAGTTTTGAGGTTTAACCTGGAAAGTATAGGAAGCCAGAAACACATAGCTTCATTATCATAGACACATACAAGTTTACTTAAAGAGGCAAATTTCCAAAATATACTGAATTTCTTACCACTATATTTAAACATCTTATTACCAATGTCATGCATCATATCACATTGCTTAAAACAATGTCAAGTTCATCTGTTCCCCCCCAGATTCCTACATAAGGTAATTCATTTCAAAAGTCCTGTTGTTGTTAGTTGCCATCAAGTCAAGCTTGACTCAGCAACCTTATGAACAACCTATCTGAAACCTGCCCTATCCTGTACCATCCTCCTCATCTCTGATATCTTTGAGCCCAATGCTGTAGTTACTCAGTTAGTCCATCTTATTTAGGTTCTTCCCTCTTTAGATAATCCTCTACTTTTCCAAGCAAAATGTCACTTTCTAAGAAATAGCCTCACCTAACAACATGCCCAAAGTATGTGCAACAAAGCTTTCCCATCCTTGTCTCTAAGGAGCATGCTGATTGCACTTTTTCCCACACTAATCTGTTCTTTTCACACTCCTTGAGACTCGGGATATTCAGTACTCTTCACAACACCACAACTCAAAGGCATCAACTCTTCTTCTTTTACCTTAATTAATTAATTGTGCAATGTTCAGATTTATAGCAAGTGATTTAAAAGACCATAGCCTAAATCAGGCACACCTTAATTTTTAAACTGACATCATTGTTCCTCAGTACTTTGGAGAGGTCTGAGACTTTCCGAATTCAATTCTGATTTTTTTTTATTAATTGTTGCACATTTCCTTCCACCTTGCCTCTCCTCCTCCAGCCAACCCACAATACGCCCCTTGTTCCAGATTATTTTAATACAGATAATGCATAATCATATATTCCTTTCCCTCATCTATTCTAATGCAGTGTTCATTATCTATCCACACTTTCCCCATTTCCTTCCCAACTCCTCTATGTCTGTCCTATTTTAAAGTAGCAGTGTTATATGCAATATTAGTCCTTTTGTGACTGATATATTACACTTACCATAATGACCTCAGGCTCCACCATATTGTGTATTGTTTACTATTTCATTGTTTTTCAGTGCTATGTACTATATAAATGTGTAGTTATACCATCGTTTTTCTATCTCTTTTTTTTTTATGAACAAAGTAACAATAAACATGGGTGTGCATATATCTGATTGAATGACAGTTCTGGTTTCTTTAGGGTATATTTCCAGAAGTGCAATTGCTGTGTCAAATGGTATTTCTATTTGCAACTTTTTGAGGAAGCGCCATACTGCCTTCCATAGTGGTTGTACCGTTTTGCCCTCCCACCAACAGTAAATAAGGGTTCTAGTTTCTCCACAACCTCGCCAGCATTTGTTGTTTGCAGCTGTGTTAAATTTTGCTGTTGTTACTGAAGTGAGATGATATCTCATGCTTGTTTTGATTTGCATCTCTCTTAGAGCTAGGGATTTTGAACACTTCTTCATGTGTTTACCATCTGAATGTCTTCTTTGGTAAAGTGTTTATCCTGTACCCATTTTGCACTTGGCTTATTTACCTTTATCTTGCTGTGGTGCCATTCATTTTTGGGCATTGTGATTTGTTTTGTTTTTATTATTATTAAATTTTATTAGTTTTAATGAACATTTACAGGGATTTTGGGTTTTCATTCCTTCATTGCTGCACCATTCTCTCGACCCTCCTCCCCAGTTTGTGCTTTTCCCCCACTATCCGAATGTCTGTTTTAATTGTCCAATTGCCACAGTGCTTGTCAAAGTCAGTTCTGATT